GCATTGGACTTATAGTACATCCCTGTCTCACACCCTTATTTGTATTAAATATTGGAGATATTTTTTTGCCAAAGCGAATACATGTTTTAGTATTGTTATACATGTTTTTAATCAAATGATAAAGTTTCCCATCAATTCCGTTCTTTAATAATTTATAAAATAAACCATCCCTCCAAACCGTATCGAAAGCCTTGCGGAAATCTACAAAGCATGTATATAGTTTAACATTTTGGTTCAGGTATTTATTAACTACATGATAAACCAATAAACACTGTCATGCGATTTATGACCATTTTTTCCCAAAAAATTATGAGTAGGCTCCTCCCAAAAAAAACATTATATAAGGATGATCATAAGTTAATGCAACACCTTCAAAGTCAACTTATTCCACATTGCACAAAACTAAAACAACAATTTCAATATTTTTTCAAAAACTTTAATCAAAACTTGTAGTCACTGAAAAATTATTGTTCTATGATTGCTGGGAAAATGTTGCATTAAATGTTTTGGCAGGAAAAATGATAACATTCAAACAAATATATATATATATATATATGTATGTAAATTACACGTAGGAATTTATTTGAAAAAAGCTGGACTGGCAGTTTGTTAGTAAAACCTGAGGGGAGATTACTGATAAAAGCAGTGTCGACAGACAAAATCTATTTGTATATACACAATATGGCTACCTGCTCAATGTGATTAAATGTCAACATATCTGCTACCCTGTGACCTTTCCATTTATTATTTACCACACAAAGCAGGATTGAGCATAATAGAAAAGAAAATTATTAAATTTTGTTGTTTTTTACATACACATATTTTTCGGTTTCCCAACGTTAATGTCATTAACAGTTCTCAATGCATGTATAATTAATACAAATGCATCATTGCCAGTCATTTGCAGCTGAGATGTAGTATATATACAAGGCAAAATTTGATACGATAAAAAAAAAACAAGCAACTCTATGATTGGTCTGTCTGTGAGGCTTAATTGGATAGCCAATCAGATGTAATCTTGTAAGTAGCCTGGAATTGGTCATCCAAGATTGGATTCCACTGTGATAAATTTGTATTCAAGACAGGATAGAATACATATTTTAATATTTGCAAGTAAAAAATTTAATTGATACCCACTCGGCTTGCCTATTTTAAAATTATTTCAGGATTTTAATCTTTTCCTCACCACCAGACTTTCTCCAAATTTTTCTGCACTTTTTTTATTTTTTTTTAATATTTCTGGATTTGAACCCTAATTTTGAAGCCAACAGACAAAATTTTCAGTTTTTACTCAGAAAATTTGGCTATTTTTGTCCTAATCTTCTAAAGTAAAGTGCAGACTATAAACGGGACTATATTTGTAATGAAAAAATGGAACTGGTGGTGAAAAGGTAAAAATACCACACCACACATCCTGGCACTAATGCAGGCACTGACCAGAAACAAACCAATAATATATTTGCAATTTAAATCACAATTTAGATTACCTGAATCCAGCTATTTACTTTGTATTTTCAATCACAATTAAAGTTAAGGTAGAAGCCTAGTCATAATTTTGGACAAAATTGGTCATAAATCGCATGACAATGTTCATTAGTTTATTATGTACAATTATGAAGCTAATGTCTCATGGTATAATGAAATAGCATTATTTTGTGTGTTACAGTTAAGCTTTTGAGAAACGTATCCTAACATTTCTTGAAAATTGCTATTTTTAGAACAATTCCATATAATGTTAAAGAGAAAATGTATTTGTTGACACTTTTTAAAACCCAGACTTTTTTAGGTCAATATCCTTATATTGCCTTAGAGTACAATTTATTGCAAAATGAATAGATTATGTTTTTTTTTAATTTATGAGTAGGCTTCTACCTTAACATCCAAATGTCAGTGATTTGTTTAATTATATTTTAATCTGATTTTGATATATACCTATAATATCTCTCTATTTTATTAAAATTGACATGCAAATTATGTCCAGTATTTTTATCCAGTTTGATTATAAAAATTGGACGTATCCGGTTACCTTGAATATTAAGATTTATTAATTTGAAACACAAAAGTCACATTGTTGTCACCTTTCATAAAATAATTTTTACTAAAATGTCTATCATTATAGCTAATGAAAAATTAGGTCCATTTGTCTCACAAAAATATGCATAAATTTTGCATCATTATTGAATTCAAAGAAACTGATCAGAGGATTTAACAACTACAGCTGTATATAATGAAAGACTCCAATATGGTACAACTTACATTACAATTGAATGTGTAAAATACTTTTGTTATTCAAGTTGGAATAAGCATAGACCCTCTAAAACAAGGATAGGAAACTGTGTTATTTCCTCTGATCTATGTACTGTAAAGGGTTAATTATTCACTGGGTTTTAATTTTGCTTATTTCGCTGACTGGAAAATGCGCTAAATTAAAACCCAGTGAATATGTAAAATTTAGCATAGAACACATTATCTAAATGATAAAACCCTTAATTTAAAACCGACTGAATATGCCTGGAATGGTAAATCAGCAAAATTTAAACCCAGTGAAAATTAGTCAGTATGATATAATCATTTTAATCCTGTTTAACGGTTAACGTATTAGCAATAATCTCAACAAAGTCTCTCAAGTTACGTGAAGAGGTTATGCAAAACAGTGTGAGATTATGTAAATTAGGGAGTTTATATAATGAGGGACGCTCACTGAGTCCTACCTAAGCTGCACTACCCAGAAAAATCAGCGAACATAAACAATAGACGATGTTGAAAACACTGTACATACACAATACACATGTGAAAATACTTTCCCTGTGATTTACGTGAGAATACGGTTACAGGTATCAGAATTGAAACACTTCTCTTATTAATAAGTTTTTTTTTTGTTTATAGAGAGATCTCTGATCACTACCTAAGTAATCATGCATTAGTTATCAGCCTTTGAAACGATAACAAGCAGCCCCTCGACTGAGATAGCTCCGCTGTTAGCAATGCACATTTCAATTAAAGAACTGAAGATATCATTAGAAAAAGAACAATATGTATACACCCTAGTAATCAGACTTGCTGTTTTCAACAAGAAGTCGAAAATATAATTTTTTACCAAAAATTACAAAATTGATCATCAAAATTAGAGAATTGAAGATATCACACAATGAACAAATCTCAGACAGGTTCACACGTACCTTAGTACCCATATATATAATATCAAAGCAATTGGACTTGCAGTTTTTAACAAGAAGTCAAAAATATAAATTTTTAGCAAAAATATTCATCAAAATTAGAGAATTGAAGATATCACGAAATGAACAAATCTAAGAGAGGTCTGCCCAAGGGACAAATACATCAAGTAGTTTTCAACAAGAAGTCGAAAAAGTAAAAAGTACGACAGCGAACGCCGGATGACAACGGACAAACACTTATATGATAAGCTTCGACAGCGGAGCTAAAAATGTTAAAAATATTTGAATATATATTCTTTAATAAAAATATAAATTTTAACTTTAAATCAAACTACTTGGTATTGACTCCAATGATGCCATGTTACTTGTTCTGTCAACTTCACTGTAGTTACTATGTGAGATGTGTAACTGACGACTGTCATGGCAACACGGAAGAAGGTGACATCGATGAGCGCTCTGGTTATAGAGTGAACTGGAAGAAAACAACAAAAATAATTGTCAGAACAAAAATTATATTTCTTGAATTTGTAGAGTCGGAGGTATTAGAATACAACATGACACTGAAGGTACTGTGATGTATGGCTACCGGTGTATTTGTTTGCTGGCTTTTAATTTCATTATTTTCGTTGATAAGTAAAATCCTCAAAATTAAATTATGTGAACATGTACAGTAAATCTGTATTAGAAGCCGCATCTCTAATAGAAGTCACACCCATTGTTTTTGAACAATTGAGACCAAAAAATCATTTTTCATATGTGTAGATGCTCTAATAGAACTAATAGAAGCCACATCCCCTCTTGCATTGTACCATTTTAATAGAAGCCACGGTTTCTAATACAGATTTTACAGTAGAATAACAATATAACTCATTGTTTATCTGCCAAGTCCGTGAACTTAAAACCCAGTGAAAATTACTCAAAACATTAAAATAGTGAAATTAAATGCCAGTGAAAATAAATGGTTCTATAGTAGTTTCACAATAAGACATTATGATAGTATCTGCCAGGTGGTTGTATCAATATCGACAAAATCAGATGGTTCGAATAATCTTTAAAAGCCCATATATATTTGTGGTTATATGCTACCAATTGTCTGTGTTGTGTACACTAAAGGTGGTATTTCCTAAAAGTGTATCGATATGCTTCAAAATAAATCTGACAAATAGCATGAGGGTTAAAACCTAAAAAAGAATTGACCAGTGTTAGACAGTGTACGGTTTGATTCATGTACAATTGATGTATGATCCATACTCAAAAAGGTCAACGTCCTGACACTTTGTAGAGGTACAAATGTACTATCATTGAGAATTTCTTAATTATTTACCCCTAATAATCCAAGTTATCAGTGAAGTTCAAAAAGTTTCATAGCAAAAATTTACATTTAATATTGGAAATTTTTGCTGTACGTATGACTTTTAAGGTTCAAAAAGTACCAAGATCTGTGACCTTTATGGGTCTGATTTACCAAGATGTGTGACCTTTAAGGGTCAAAGTACCAGGATGAGTGACCTTTAGGGGTCAGAAAATACCAGGATGTGTGACCTATAGGGGTCAGAAAGTACCAGGATGTGCGACCTCTAGAGGTCAGAAAGTACCAGGATGTGTGACCTTTAGGGGTCAAGCACAAGACATATTCAAATCAAGATGCAGCTCAGACAATGCAAAGCCTAGTTCAACAACAAAATACTAGTAACAGTAGTTATCCTTTATCTTAATCAAGTTGCAGTTCTATAAAACCCAATGTACCAATTATTATATATCATGTTTTTATAGTACATAAGCCCACACCAACTATCCCTTTCCTTGAGCTGGAAATGAACCACCTACAGTAAAGTGCATGCATTACTTAACATTCAGCTGGCTCAACCTTTTCACCACCAGACTTTCTCACCAGATTTGTCTGCACTTTTTTCTTATGATTCTTCAATATTTCTAGAAATGAACCCTAATTTTGGAGCCAACAGACACAATTTGAGTCAATTTTCAGTTTTTACTCAGAAAATTTGGCTATTTTTGTCCTAATTTTCTAAAGTAAAGTGCAGACTATAATCAAGACTATTTTTGAATTTGTGGTAAAAAGAGAGAACTGCTGATGAAAAATTTGTCTGCACTTTTTTCTTATGATTTTTCAATATTTCTAGAAATGAACACTAATTTTGGAGCCAACAGACACAATTTGAGTCAATTTTCAGTTTTTACTCAAAAAATTTGGAAAGTGCAGACTATAATCAAAACTATTTTTGAATTTGTGGTAAAAAGAGAGAACTGCTGATGAAAAGCTTAAATCTAGCTTAGCTTGCTTTTATCATATATCTGAATTGTACAGAGTAAGCTGCATAAACATGTCTGTTGTATTTAATAGTGAATACTACGAAGAATATTTTGAAATTACTGATGATAATAAAATTTATTGCAGAGTTTATGAAAAGTCAAAGTCAGCTCACAGCCAGCTTAATAAGTTAAGTTACATCCAGACTGTACTATACCTCGCCATAAGATGACACACTACCATTTGAGCTGTTTTTAACAGAATGCAACACATTGGAGAGTGTCTCTTATGTTTTACAATTTTCTGTTTAAAAAAACAGCTCCATTCATTAATAGTTTGTCACTTTACTTTCCCAAAACTGTAAAATACATTATTTTCACTTGGAATTTATTGTCGCTGAAGGAATGATTCAGTGAAAATAAAATCCACCAAATATACCTTTTTTGCCTATATTTTAAATTTAACTCATCAAAAATCAGTGAAAATAAACTTCATACAAAACACACATAAAGTCTTTTCAGCGAAAATTAATTCAAGCTAAAATAAAGTATTTTTACAGTACCTGTACATTAAAACTATTTTATAATTATGAATTTTAGTATACCCCATCACTAATGGAACACAAACACATGCTTTATAAAAAGGCAATAGAGAATCTATAATCAGGCTATTATTGTTAAAGCAGGATGGTAGTGAATGACAACTGCCAGATTTGTTTCCATGGAAACCATTGAATCAACTAAGCCTACATAGAAAAATAACATTTGAATAGTGCTTACTGTTTTTTTTGCAATCTAAACAAAATAGTTGTGACAAAATCCTGACTAGGTCAGGTTTACGATTTGCTTTATTTTCACAATAGAGTGAAAAGTTCATGAGCCAAAAAAAAATTGTGATATTTTTCAGCCATTTTTTACAAGAAATATTTATGACAGTACGGCAGTGATTATCGTGAAATTTTGTCTACATGAGTGCAGTCATGTAAAATTTATAATGCTGAAAATTAAGCAGTACCGGTACCATGCTTTAAAAAGGCAGCCATTTTGGGCTAGCAAATTATGAATTTTTAAAAAGTGCTACCATATTCACTCTATTAATAGCGCATGCGCTTATGTAAGTTTCTATTTCTATGGTCAAAATTAGTCATATTTAATGATTCACTATACAAATGTGATTTTGATTCTCTATGGACTTCTATTTGAGATGTGCTTTTAATAGAACAAATATGGTATTTTAAAATGAAGCTGGTCCTTAGGTTGTTGGTTCCCGATAAAAATATCACAATTATAGAAACTTGTAGGCATCTGTTACTTTCACT